TAAAATAAATATTATACGGACGTTAAACGATTCGTTAAGACTTATAAAAAATGCTAGCATCGAGCAATTAATAAGCTCGAAAAGCTATTGCATTTTACTCGATCTAATAGCTTAATAAAACGCTAGGCTATCGATATTACTTATTTACTTGCACGTAATAGCAAAAGCTATTTAATTATTATTAAAGATAATATAAATAGATAAGTTAAAGCGAAAGCGATTCGGATTCGAAATTCGCTTTCGATAGCTAAGTTTATTTAAAAAGATATCATTTACCGTTATAAGATTTTATTTTAGCTAATAATCAACGGAGGTTCGGAGTTTAAAAAAAAAGTAATCGATTTACTTAACAATTAAAGAATCAATCGAATCGTAGTTTTAGCATATTACTTTTAAGCGAATAAAATAATAAAACGCGGCTACGGACTAATTAAGGACGCATTAAATAAGCTTAAAAGCACCGATTAAATTGCGCAATTGCTAGCCGTTTTATTCGCCGACCGCACTTTAATGCATACTTTTATCGGATTCACTTTCTTTTATATAATATACGGCAAAAAAGCAATGCTTTCGATTAAGACTCGAATTTAATTTTAAGCTACGTTATTTTAAAAGCTAATAATCAATCGTATTAAGCTTATCGAGTTAAAGGCACGCTAATTCCGGATACAAGACGAAGATGCTACGGAAGCTATACTTAAGAAAACCCGTTGCCGTTAAAAAGGAAAAGATGCTTTTAATAATAAAAAGAACTTTCGAATTAGACTTTTAAAAGTAAATGATTTAGTTTTTAAGTACGACTCGATACGTAAAGTAAATATGTTTAACGTTAAGAAGCTAGATTTTCAATAGCTTAGCTTTTATTAAATTTCGTCGGTAAATATAAAAAGATATTATAAGTTAAAAGAATTAAAAAAGGATGAAGCTTTGCTAAATAAAACATTTGCTAGCAATCGATTAAAAAAGTTTTACGTACGATATACTTTTAAAGCGTTATCACTTCGCTTTAAGCTTTAAATAAAAAGATCTTTAAAACAGCTTTTATTAAATGAAGTAGCTAAGTCCGGCTTTTAGATCAAGCGCTTAAATAGATTTGTTATTCGATTACTTAGCTTTACGGAAGAGCAACGGAGCTAATACGCAAGAGTCTTTGTGAGCAGTAATAAAGAAAATGATTAAGTTATGAAGGCATGACTATACGTAAAGAAAAGACGAGTTTAAATTTGATTTTTAATTTTTTCTTTATTTAAGTTTAGTTTTTTTTGTTTTCTTTTTTTTTACACTTTCTTTATTTTCTTTTTTATATTAAAAAGCCTTACGTTATTATACTTATATGCTTTCGATCTATTATATACGAGCATATTATATATATAAAGCGGATCTTATTCGAAAGCTAATCAAGAAGAGCATACGAAAAATCTATTGCATTAATTACTTAGTAAGCTGCTAATACGCGATAAAAACCCTTCCGACCTTATAACTTAAAGTTAAATGAAATAATGCGAAAGCCTTCCGCAATACTTTAAGTATTACTCTTACCTTTCGAAGTCTTACCAATATTATTACGATTCGAACCTTTCGAAGAACCACCGGTATTACTGCGATTAAAAGCTTAGCGAGCACTTCGGCGGAGCCTTTTTGCTTAAAAAAGTGCTAGCGATTCCGAAGATAAAAATAAAAAGGACGAAGACTTTTCGGCAATTTATTATAATTAAATCGGAAAAGAATTATAAAAGGTTCGCAATATATATTTACGCAATTAAAAAAGTTATTTAGCAAAGTATTGTTTCGATTTATTATAACTAAGATTTAACGCAATAGATCTAGCGAAGCTAAATCGGCGGTAGCAGCGGCGGCAAGTAAGCGTAACGCCGAGACGGGACTCAAGCTAACTAAAGGACCTTTAGCATTAGCGGCGGTAAAAGAAGTAACGGCGATACGAGCTCGAAGAAAAGAAAAAGCATTATTAATATAAAAAGCAAAAGCACGACGAGTCTTTATAAAAAAGTTATTTATAATTATGCTTTTACGAAAAACGTCGTCAGCTATTTTAATTTTATTATTTATAGCCGTCATCGCATCTATCAAGATTATGCCGGTATTAACGACTTTTACGAAGAGCTATCGAATCGAAATTAAAACGAGTATAAAACGGAAAGTAAAATAACTTACGAAGATGTAAATTGATTTAATAGCACGGCAACGCTCGTATTTAATAGATTTATTAAAAAAGAAGATACACCGATTCGTAATATTATCGATAGTTTTGCTTGCGTAGCTTACGCATCGAAAGCAGATCGAAAACATAATAATAAAAGATAAAGTTAATAAGTAGTAATATTAAAAGGAAGATAAAAAGATATAAAGTTAATATAAAAAAAAAGTATTATTTATAGCAAGACTTCGAATATATATTGCCGCTTTTATTTTTTTTATTACGTTACCGCTTTAAGCCTTGCGCTATTATCGATTCGGCAATGCGTTATTACTTGACCGCTTAAACCGGCGCACGCTTATCTTGATAATAATATTAACGCTCGAGTTGATATTGTTTTTATAATTAAATAAAAGAGCTATAAAAGATATAAAAAAGAGTTGGACCCGAAGGATTATCTTGCATTTTCGTTGCTATTTTTATTTTCTTTATTATATTATATACGCTTTGTATTAACACCGATCCGGCGATGCATCATTAAGTAGTACTTTAAGATCGTATTGCGATTATGCAATTCGGCTATATGCTCGTTTTGCAAACTTAACTCTATCACTTTGATAAAAAGTGATTCGAAAGCGAGTCTGATTCGAAGAAGGGACGTATATAATAGAGTTAAGGCTTTGTATTTGTTTTGTTTATATATATAATACTAATGCTAAGCACTTTTGTTACGTGGGTGCGCTGCATGCTTTAGCCCTGCTAAGCACGTAGTTAGGTCACGTGCAAGCTCTTATATAAACGAGTAATTGGTTCCTCCTTGAACTATTATTATATCACTACACAATACAATATACGTACTTACAGCATATATTCGAGTGTTCTTCGATCGTCTTCCTTTTCCCTCTTTATTCACTTACGATTCTATTATGGTTATATTTATATATATCTCTTGATTTGACGTTGGGTATATGTCGGAGCTCTTCCCCTCCATAATAGCGTATAGCTTAAAAGCTAATACTGCCTTTATTACCCTCTTGCACTTCTGTAACACTTAATAAAAAATATTACTTATTAAAGTGAACTCGTTTTCATTTACGTAAGCTTTATTGCTAAAGATAGCTACGAAACCGATTTAAGAGCTAAAGTCAGCGTTATTAATAAACGCTCCGTCTACGAACACGAAGAGCTTCGCCGTCTTTAAGTTTAAAAGTACGTAATAGATCCTTCGAGTTAAATGATCGATCAGCTATTAGATCACCTTATTAAAGGCTTTATAGTCTTCGTCTTTTGGTTCTTAATGCTAAGCAGTTATCGATAAAGCACAAGATACTTTTAAGTAGCAAATAATAGCTAAATACGCCTTTCGAGTACGTTGCTCTAAGTACTTTTTAGCCCGTATAACTGAATCGAGCTTAATTACGGCAAGCCTTTCACCTTATCTTTTTTGCTCGATTGATAGTCCGAACTCGTCTTTATCCAAAGATAGCTTGCATCTATTGAAAATCATCGGTTCGGCGTATATAAAAGTCTTTATTTCCTTGCTTCTTAACTTAAATTTAACCAACTCTTTCTTTTCTTTTGCTTTTATAGCTCGATTAACAACTATAAAAACATCGTCCGTCTATAAAGCAGCTATTTTTAACTAATCTTTATTAATTGATATAAAGAAGCAAGAATTAAAGCTCGATTGCCTCATCTCGAAGTTATTCGTAAAATGCTTTAAAAAACGCTTATATTAATGCGTTCTTGCTTCAAGGATTCCGTATAAAAGGCTAATTATAAAAAACAAGGTCTTAAGAGAGAATCGATAAATGATCTCCTTAAGTAGTCGCACGACGATTATTCGAATAAGCTTCGTGCTTGATTAAGTATAAGCTTGCGTAATATCCTTATTACAGACTTAACACTCGTAATCCTTTATTAACGAAAGAGCTAAAGCATAACAAAGTCTTTAGCCCGCTCGCTACACCGTAAGTGACTTAATAAGTACTTTCGTTTTGCTCTTATCTTAAAAGGCTTAAATTATTATACGAGACTTCTCGTATAGCGTAAGTGTTCCTTTGCTTTTGATCTCGTTAATAAACTTAAATCCGAAAATCCTAGCGCCTTTAGCACGTAGATCAATGCTCGAGATCACTTAAAGAATGCTTTAAGCTATTAATTTTGCTAATTCTTTTGCTTTAGACTCTTAAAACGGTGCTTCGAGGCTTTTAATAATTCTTTCGGCTCGTAGCTTAACTAAGAGCTTATAGTCCCGGCGTTCTTTATCGATAATAAATACTTCGAAGTCTTTAGTAAATAAAACGTAAGAATCGCTTTCTTTTTCGTCGAGCACGGTCGAGATACTAAAATCGTATTTCTAATAAAGTATCTAAACTATTAGTATTATTGATCTTTAAGGATTAGCAAGTTAAAAGTTAAAAGGGCTGTTTATTAATTTTAGCGAGCTTTTTAATAGATTAAGCGAATGTTAAAGTTTAAGCGAATTTCGCAGTTTTAGCTCCTTTTCGCTTTCGCTTTAATCTTCTTTTACTTTTACTTTAAGTACTTGCAACTCTTTTAGCAGCTTTTCAACTTTAAAGTAGTAAGGTTTTATTAAGGTTGACTTGAATTCCGTAAGCCTTAAGCATGCTATTATGCACGTATGCCCTTACTTGCTAAGCAGCTGAAAAGGGCCCTTTTACCCTTGGTTTTCTTGCGATACGAGTACCCGTAAACTAATAAAAAGGTCTAAGGTATGCTTTATAATTAGCCTATTCTTTTTTTTAAGCGCGTCCTTAACTTGCTTCGCCGCGTAGCATTTTCGTACTTCCTTTATAGTTTTATTAATAACAGCAGCACGCTTTTAAGTAAACGCAGCAAGTCGATCTTGCTCCGTTAGCTTCGATAAAGTATTAAAGACGAAAAGCGTAAAGACCAAGCTATTAAGTCCCGCCGTATCGTTAATAGCTTTAATAGCCATTTGAAGCCGGTTTTCCCTTAAGGCCTTTAGAAGCTCCTTTATGACGATCTTAAAGGCGCGTCGCACAAAGACGTAATAGCGTTCCACTAGCTCGACGCTATAATAAGCCTTTATAAGCATCTGCTTCGAAGTGCTTTTAATACTTTTAAAGTATTTTCGGAATATCGCTAAATTGAAATTGATTCCGAGATCGTGCACTACGTTTATAAAAGGCTCGACGTAAGTATTAATTTAACATCGATTGAATCCTTTAAGTAAGTGTTATGCGGACATGCTTTTAAAGAAAGTAGCGGCTTAAAAGTTAATAGAATCGCAAACGACGTGCAATACGTTCTTGCCGTTAAAGTGCATTACGTTTACGTATACCGTATTATTAAAGTTAATATTATTTTTAAGTTTAATACCAGGACAAAGGACCAAGTTCTTTGTAGTGTCACCAACGAGCTAATTATTCGATTTATAAAAATCTTTATATATTTAAGTAAATTATAAAATAAATAATAATAGAAACTGAATAAATCTAAAAGTAATTGGCGCAAGAAATAATTTATCTAATTATTTATTATAAAAAAGAAACCTCTTTAAATACTTCTTTTTATAAGGGAGACCTTAGACCCTTTTACGAATTACTTATATTTTAATAATTTAATATAAGACGAAGACCCCTTTAAACCCCCCTTTCTACTAAGAAAACCTCA